TTTAGGAGTCGGAAATAGGTTGATGGTGGAGAAAATTTTCAACGAGGCAATAGAACTATTTACTCAATTGATAAAACATGATTTTTTGTAATAACTAATATCTATTTTGTTTCTTTCGCTTAGTTTTTGTCAAGCCACAACCTTGCTACAGCAACAGAGTCAATGACAGACTCAACGACAAAAGCGACATGTGTCAATACGTGATTGAACAATTTGGAAAGAAAAAAAAAACAATATCGCACCATGTCACCTCACCTCCTGTTATTGACCCTAGCCAAGGAGCTTTATATATATTGTTGACTATGCTGCCAACAAATGTCAGACCCAATTGTGCATGCACAAGCTATACTATATCCTTGCTTATGCTTCGGCACATCCACCTCGAATTAATAATGGACCTTGAAAATTACCAACTGGGCCTCCTCTTTTATGACTGGTGGTTCAGCGGCATGGGTCCACAACTTCACTGGGTCGGCTACATGGCAAATGCTAGTACCAAGTCATAACAATAGTCTCTCAAGTTCACGTATGCTTATTTATATTATGCGTGGACTTTTAGTAGTCAACGAAATTCCCTCATTGGGCATCACAAGAAATCTTTAAAATTTCTGATCCATCATGCTAGTTGATAGCTAGATTTGTTTTTGGAGTTGAGGCAGTGAGTGTTGAACTGTCGAGGCTCATTACTTTGAAGATAGCTGAATTTGTTTTTGAAGCTGAGGCAGTTGAGTGCTGAACTACCAATGCTCATTACTTTGAAGATAACTGAATTTGTTTTTGGAGGTAAGGCAGTGAACTGCTGAACTGTCGAGGCTCATTTTCATGCCTCATTACATAACTTCTCCCATGACGTTCAGCATCGTCGTGTGAAGCTTGTGATGTCCGCCTCAGGGAGCGAATGAGGTAATCCCTTTTGGGATCTGATAATCTTCTCCGAGGTGCCCACGCTTTCCCACATGGTGGACGGTGCATCCATGTGGAGGTAATCCCTTTTGGGATCTAATCTTATTCTCCACAGCGCCCACGCTTCCCTTCATAGGGACGAATCATCTATGTAGAGGCTTCCCCTTTGATTTTTGTCAATAGGAGGTATTTTATAATTTTTTATGAGCTTTCTTTAATAAGAGTATTTTTAAATTTTTTCTAAGCACGAGGTTGAGCGGTTTGCCCATGCTGAGACTTCCTTAACAACTTTAGTTGTTAAAAGCATGTGCCACACTTCGCGAGTACATATGTGGTCATTTTTGGGATCGAACTCCTCTTCGAAGTGTCAACGCTTCTCTTCATAGGGATGAATCATCTATGAAGAGGCTTTCCATCTTTTTCAATAGGAGATACTTTATAATTTTTGAACTTGTGTGCAAATTTGATTTTACAGATTGCAAACTTTGTTTCTTAAGTGAGGACTCAAAAATAATGCCACATCTTCCTTTATTCAAGGATGAGGCCCTCATGCTGAATTGCTGAAGCATAGGCAAGGACTCACCCTTGCATGCTAACAGGGGCGGATCCAGCACCTGGCCAGCGCCCGCGACCGCCCGTGCTGGATCCGCCGG